TGAGAGTTTTTATCAGTATTCCACATTATTAATAATGATGAGGACACGGTGGCTTGTTTCTTTGTACTTTTCATGACTTAACAAAGTTTCTAAAAGTTTCTCAGAAATGGGCCTGGCCAACATGGCTCAGTGGTTGAGCACTGTGAGTCAACCTATGAACCTGGAGCTCATGGCTCAATTCCTGATCAGGGCACATGCCCAGTTGTGGGCTCAATCTCCAGTGTGGGGCATGCAAGAGGCAGCTGATCAATGATTCTCTCTCATCACTGATGTTTCTCTCTCTCTCTCTCTCTCCATCTCTCTTCCTCTCTGAAATCAATAAAAAATATATTTAACCACAAGTGATGGATTTTAAGTTTAAAAAATTATCAAATATCAATAATTAGCAAATAATAATAGGCCCTCGTATTTTAACTTGAATTTGGTTATCTACCATTTTTTCAAATGTGAAATTACCTATCCTCAGTTCCAATCCAATCCATGTATTATAGGTACTAATTCTATATAGACATCTATTTCTAATGCTTGCATAAATGAATAGTAATTTGTAGATTAACTACACAATTAAATATGGTTAAATTTATTTTTAAACAAAGTACCTGCATGCTGAGATTTTGAAGAGAAATACCAAATGACAGTGGTTTTTCTTGATTTGTGATCTAAAGAGGAAACACAGTACATTTTTCTCAGATTTTTAGTAGTTGAACAAAATTTACATTACAGAATGCAATTTCAAACATTCAAAAACATTTAATACTTTCCAGAACAACTTTTATTTCTATATTTTTTCCTGATACATATTAATTAAAATATTAAGCATCAATGCATTAGTGTTCTAAAATAATACATCTGCATAATGTTTTACACTTTATCAAAAAAAGCTTACAAAAAATGATTGACCCTCATAATAGTACTATGAGAAGCTAATCATTATGTGTTTTAGAGAGAATACATGATCTATTTGAGATCAGTTAGTTAAATCTTGCTCTACTGATTCCTAGACCAGTGCTCTTTCCAGGAAATAAATACCGTATAATTTAAAGTCTCTTAAAACAATATAATAGCTAAATTCATAATCCCACCTATCACAGGTACTAAGATAGGCATTTTCCTCCATTATCTGATGTTTGAACACTTTAGGGAATTGTAACCAAGGCAGGAAGGACTGAAAATTACAACTATAGTTATAGAAAAGTAAGATTATGTCATTTTCAGCCCTATTCCTTCACTTCCCAGCATCTAATAGATGGGATACTACAGAGCAGGTTTCCATAAACAGTGGAATATATATAAATATAAAAACAAGATTCATTTGTTAAAATACTTACATCATCTTCATAACGAATATGGATGTTGGAAATTTTCACTTGAAGATTTTTTATGATCTGAGTAATTAATTTTTCTGTAAAAGTGTCTTGTTTCTCCACCAGGAGTTTTTCTAGAATTGCAAATATTCCTTTTTAAACTTGAATGAAAAATATATTCTATAAATGTCCACATATTGAGGTAATACAAATGTTACCTTGTTAAAGAAAAAAATCTATATTTGTAGATTTGCTTTTCAAAAATCTTCCATACCAAGAGATTTTCAAAGGCAACTAAGTACAGTTTTCAAACTAGTTTCTTGTTCAGTGAAACTAAAGCCAACCTTGAAAAATTTATTGGCATTAAATTTTATAAACTTCTCTCTGTTAATTATATCTGAGTACATAAAGATATGGACAACAACGAAGATTATTAAGTAAGAATTATAATAGGTTTATATGAAAAAAGCTAGAGGAAGCAGCAAAGATGGAATCTCCCTTAAAATTAGAGATAACATCATAAGTTGTCTGTGGTTAGGTGTATAAAATAGTTGAATACGATTCTCCTGATGAATACAAAGTAGGAAGATACAAGATATTACCCTCTCTCCTTTACAGCAATGATGAAGGAAGTTCATCAGGTGTTTCTTTTTCTAAAACCTATTTGCTATCTCCAGTTTCAATATTTTTCAGGGGAACAGAAAGAATAAAAAATTGAGGTTCCTAATTTTTTAATATGCCTTTAATAACCACTAGTTACTACCCCTATTTCCTCCACTTAAAAATGCCAATAAAAGCTATCTCTTTTCCTAAAAAATATATATATATATATATAAATAGGTAAGAAAAAAAGAGATTAAGACTGAAATTACTTAAGTCACAAATGAGAGTGGGAACATTACTACTTATTCTATTTATTCTACAGAAATAAAAAGAATGATTATAAGATAGTACTATGAAAAATTTTTACTAACAAACTGTAATACCAGATGAAATGGACAAATTCCTAGAAAAACAAAATCTACCAAGGCAAAATCACAAAGAAACGGAAAATCTGAATAGTCAGATAATTCATAGAAGATCAAATAGTAATCAAAAATCTCTTGACAAAAGCAAGCTCTGGACCTCATGGCTTCACTTGTGAACTCTACCAAACATTTAAAAGAGAACATCAATCCACTTCAAACTCTTCCAAAAAACTGAAGAGAGGGGAGTATTTCCAAACTCAATATGAGATCAGCATTAATCTGACACACAAGCAAGACAAACATACCACAAAAAACTACCGATCAATATCCCTAATGAATACTGACACAAAAATCTTCAACAATATGTTAACAAATAAAAAATAAAAGCCCATTATAAGGATTGCACACCATGATTTAATACAATTTATTCCTGCAATGGAAGGATGGCTCTATTTATGAAAATCAATCAATTTAATATACCATATCAACAAAATAAAAGAAAAAAACAAATGATCATCTCAACTGATTAAGAAAAAACATTTGACAAACGTCAATACCCTTTCATAATAAAAACACTCAATAAACTAGCAATAAGAGGAAACTAATTTAACATAATAAAGATCACAGGTGAAAACTCACATCATACTCAATAGTGAAAGTCTGAAAGCTTTACCTCTAAGTTCAGGGAAAAGGTAAGGATGCCCACTTTTGCCACTTCCATTCAACATAGTATGGAAATTCTAGTCAGAGTAATTAGTCAAGAGAAAATAAATAAAAGGCATACAAATTGGAAAGGAAAAAAATAACATTATCTCTGTTCACAGATAACATTATCTTATATAAAGAAAACCCTATATAATTCCACATACAAAAATTGTTAGAACTAATAAACTAATTCAGCAAAGTAGGAAGGTACAAAGCCAGCACAAACAAATCACTTGCATATCTATTTCCAATCAATGGACAATCTGAAAGTAAATTACAAATATAATTCCCTTTATAATAGCATCAAAAAAATAAAATACTTAGGAAAAAAATTTAAAAGACATAAGTAAGTGGAAGGACATCTCATCCATATCCATGGATTGGAAGATTTGATATTGTTAACACATCAATATTGCACAAAGGACTCTATAGATTCAAAGCAATCCGTATCAAAATATCAATGACATTTTTTGCACAGAAAAAAAAATCCATCGTAAAATTCATATGGAATCTCAAATAATCAAAAAAATCTTGAAAAGGAAGAACAAAGCAGAAAGAATCACACTTCCTAATTGCAAAACTTATAACAAAAGTATAGTAATCATAACAGAGTGGTATTGACCAATGAATAAACTAAAAATCCCAGAAATAAATCTTCACATACCCTCAAATAACTTTTTTAAAAGAGTGCCAAGACTATTCAATGGGAAAGAACAGTATTTTTAAGAAATGATGCTTGGAAAACTGTATATCCAGATATTCACACACAAGAGAATGAAGTTGGACCTTTATCTAACAAAATCTAAAAATGAACTTAAAAAAAAATCAAAGATTTAACTGTAAGATCTAAAACTATAAAATTCCTATAAGAAAACATAGGAAACTGGATTTGATCATAATTTCTTATATATGATAACAAAGGCACAGGCAACAGAAGAAAAGCAGACAAAATGAACTTCATGAAAACTTTAAAATTTGGGGCCTTGTAGACTATCAACAGAGTAAAGATGCTACCTACAGAAAGGAATAAAATTTGCAAATCACATATCTAATAAGGGATTAATATTCAGAATACACAGAGAACTCTGACCACATACCCTCCCCCAAAAAAACACAATTAAAAAATGGGAAAATACTTGAATAGACATTTCTCCAAAGATATAGAAATGGCCAGTAAGCACATAAAAGGATGCTCAAATACTAATTTTTAGGGAAGTGCAAATCTACACTACATGATACCATTTCATCCCCATTAAGATGTTACCATTTAAAAAAAAAAAAAACCCAGAAAATAAGTTGGTATGAATGACCACACAAGATATGAAAGAACTGTGACAGAGAAGAAAAAATAATTACAAAAAGTGTTGCCAGGAATTGCATTAAATCTCCTTTATATTTTTTACCTGTATGTAAACAGGTAAAAAGTTAATATTGAGTTATATTTTTTATTCTAAAAAATTAATGTATGGCAAGGATAGTGAAATCAGTATATATCTACCTTACTTTTAAGATGCTTAACTTTTAAATGAAGGATAGAGAAGATAAACACATGACTAGGTTAGGAAAATGACTATTTTAGAAGCTAAGAAAGGCTATAGTATATCTCCATGTTAAGAAGAAAGATTCACTAGAGGGAGAAGTTAGAGTCTTGAGTAAAAATAGCTGATGCTGCTGCATGCAGCACAAGTAGAAAGGAATTAGATTTCTGCAGGACATCTCTTCTACCAACAAAAGAAGGAGTTGAAGTAATGGACCATTTGGTCTCGGTTGAATTGGAAAGGATGTGAAGCCAGAGGATAAATAAACAGATTTGGGAAAGTATCCTATATAATAAAAGGGTAATATGCAAATTGACCCTAACAGCAGAACAACCACTGGACGAGTCACTATGAGGTGCACTGACCATCTCTTGGTCCCTTTCCCCAGCCAGCAGGCTCCAATCACCTGATGGCCACCCATGGCAGGAGTGGGGCCAGCAAGTGGGTGGGAACAGCCGACCTCTCGGTCCCTTCCCCCCATGGGTCACCCAATAGTGAACGGGAAACCGGGAGCGGGTGGCGGCGGGGGGTGGGGCTGGCTGCGGGCAGCTGGGGAAGATGGCCCTGATTGCAGGCCAGGCCTAGGGACTGTACCTGTGCACGAATTTCATGCACCAGGCCTCTAGTAAATATATAAAGGGACTCAGCATATCCAAAAGGTGACCTGATATAAGGAGAATAAAAAGGAAAAGGCTAGAAAGGTAAGAAAACACACTTGATCCAATTAATTATTGTAGTTAAAAACTAACCTTTCCCTTATAAACTAGGTATATTATTTTCCCTAAGATAAATGTCTAATAGATAAAAATTTTTATGAACATGATAGAACACATTAAATGCATTAAAATGCCCCATGTAATAAGATTCTCTCATATTTGTTAAGTAACTTCAGTGCTTCCAAAGAAAAATAATATTCAAATGTGAGCAATATTTTGGTCTTTTCTCCATTTCTTATTTCAATTCTTCTTTATTTTCTTTACCTTGATTAGCTACTTTTTGTTTGGCTTCTTCTATTCTTTTTAGTTCCTGCTGCTTTGCTTCCAAAAGTTGCTTTTCTTCTTTTAAAGAATCATATTTTATTACTAAAGGAAGCATAAAAAGGGAAAATCTTAATTACCTTAAATTTAAATGTACTCATTCCAAAAAACATACAAGAAAATAATCACTAATTCCAGGTATACAAAAATTTAGTGTGAAAACCAATTTAATTCAATTACCTAGCACCAAATGCATATATTTTTAAAAATCACAAAAAAATCCCCCAAAATATTTTGAATACAATAATAAAATATAAAGATTTTCCATCTACAAAAAAGAGTAATTTAAATTATAATGTTTAAAATTTGACTTACTAGAAGAAGGCACTATGAGTAAATAAATGTTTTCCAGTACAGCTACAACTGGTTGAGTATAAAGGTTTTTCCATGGAATTTTAAGATTAAGGTTACCTACATTAAAAAAAAACACACAAAAAATATTCATTTAAACTACATTTACTGTCAGCCTATTTTCTGTCAGACATTAGAAAAGATTACAAGCTCAGTCACTTTATAGAAAGCTATTTTACAACCAAAAATAAGGCTTTGTGGTGAAAATTTGAAATTATTTGTATTAATCAATATTGTTGGAAAATCTACTAAATGATATCCTAAATATTTATGGCTATCTGTACCACAAACATACTAATATTCTTCTTCCATTAACCAACAATCCTTTTTATTATAACTTAGAATATCCCCATTCTTCCTCTAAATCTCTGTAAGAAGTACTTTCCTTATACTTTAAAAAAGATTATCTACTTTACATGTTTATTTTTCACATGTAAAGATTATACACACGGTTTAACAATGGGGATACGTCCTGAGAAATTCATCGTTAGGTGATTTTTGTCATTGTGCTAACAGAGAGTGCGTGTTCAGTGGTCTAGCCTACTACGTAGCCAGGCTATATAGTATAGCCTACTGCTCCTAGGCTACAAACCTGTACAAAAGGTTACCATACACAACAACACAAAATTCAATCAAGCACAAGAGAAAATTATGCAATTAGGAGCTTGAGTAATATGAGACATATGAGGCTGCTGATATATGAGCATGAGACATAAGAGGCTGCTGTCAAAGTAACAGAGCATGCTGATTTACAGCAATTTTTTTTTAAGTAGGAAAAGTGTACTCTAAAATAACAATAAAAACATAAAGTATAGCCCTGGCCAGGTGGCTAAGGTGGTTTGAGCATCATCCCATACACCAAAAGACTGTGGGTTCGATTCCTGGTCGGGGTGTGTAGTGGAGGCAACTGATTGATGTTTCTCTCTCATATTGATGTTTCTTTCTCTCTTTTTCTCTCTCCCCACTCCTCTCTTCGTAAAATCAATAAAAAAGATATCCTCTCAAAAAAAATCAATAAAAATATTTTTAAAACCACACAAAAAAATATACTCTCAGGTGAGAATTAAAAAAAATTTTAAGTATAAAGTATACTATAGTAAGTACATAAAATAGTAACAATCCACTTACTGTCTTATGAAGTTTTATGTACCATACATAAGTGTATGTCTTACACTTTTATACTGGCAGTGCAGTAGATGTGTTTACACCTGCACCACCACAGTCACGTGAGTAATGCCTTGAGTTGCAACAGCTATGCCATTACTAGACAGTAGGAATTTTTCAGCTCCGTATAATCTTATAGTACCATATCATATAAGTGGTCCGTTGTTGACCAAAATGTCATTATGCAGTGCAGGAATGTATGTACAATAATATACATTGTATGATTATCACCATAAGAATATTGCACACAAATATCTCTGGTATTATGGGAAATATTTGATAATTATTCAAACTAATGAAAATAATTTACGATCCAATAGCAAAATATGTTACAACTCAAATTAAAAAAAATATATATTATGTGAGGGGTTGCTTGTACTATTGATTCTAGTTTTGTGTATTTAGAAATTTTCCATAATAAAGATTTTTAAGTATTTTTAAATTCCTTAGAAAGTATGAGTCTCTAGATTTAGAAATAGTTGTCATAATTAGGAAAGGGAAAGACTATTAAATACACTATTATCACATTAACTGGTTAGTAATTTAGGAAGGGGAAAAAAATCTACTTAGAGCTATCTCTTTTCATAACCAATGTTATAAAAACCCTGACCAGTGATGCTCAGTTGGTTGGAGCATCAACCCATATACCAAAAGGTGGCGAGTTCGATCCCCAGTCAGAGCTCTCTCACATCAATGTCTCTCTTTCTCTCCCTCTCCATTTCTCTCCCTTACTCTATCTAAAAATCAATAAACATATCCGCAGATCAGGATTTTTTTTAAAAAATTTTGTACAAAATGTAATGAGTTGCAACACATTTGACAGTTTTTTTACAACTGTATCAAGCAGATTTACAGCAAATTTTTTTTACACATATACTCACATCTACACTAATCTACACTAATAAAAGAGAAACATGGTAATTGGCGTACGACCGCTACCCTTCCCACTGGCTAATCAGCATATCCTTATGCAAATTAACTGTCAGCCAAGATGGCGCCCGGCAGCCAGGCACTGAAGCGAGAACATGAGGCTTGCTT